TGGCTGTCATAGAGGTTAAGTGCGCGTGCTCCACTGCTGGCGGCCGGGGTTCGGATCCCAGGCTCGCACCGACACACTGCTTGTCAGACCATGCTGTGGCAGCATCCCACATAAAGTGGAGAAAGTTCAGCATGGATGTTAGCTCAGGGCCAGTCTTCCTCAGCAAAAAGAGGAGGATTGGCATGGATGTTAGCTCAGGGCTGATCTTCCTCACAAAAAAAAAAAACTGTGTGTCTAGAGGTGAAAACATGGGAGTGGGCTGGTGGCACAGGGGTTAAGTGTGGGTGCCCTGCTTCGGCAGCCCGGGGTTCGCAGGTTTGGATCCCGGGTGCACACCGACGCACCTCTTGTCAAGCCATGCTGTGGCGGCATCCCATATAAGGTGGAGGAAGATGGGCATGGATGTTAGCCCAGGGACAATCTTCCTCAGCAAAAAGAGGAGGGTTGGCATTGGATGTTAGCTCAGGGCTGACCTTTCTCACACACACAAAAAAAAACTAGAGGTGAAAACTTATGCCCACGCAAAAATGTGCACATGGAGGTTTATAGCAGCTTTACTCATCATTGCCAAAACTTGAAGCCACCAAGATGTCCTTAAGTAGGTGAATGGATAAATAAACTGTGGTCCATCCAGACAAAAGAATATTATTCAGCACTAAAAAGAAACGAGCTACCATGCCATGAAAAGACGTAGAGGAACCTTAAATGCACATCACCAAGTGAAAGAAGGCAATCTGAAAAGGCTACACACTGTATGATTCCAAGTATATGACATGCTGGAAAAGGCGAAACTGTGGAGATAGGAAAAGATCAGTGGTTGCCATGGGTTAGCGGGGAGGGAGGGACGAATAGGCAGAGCACAGCGGACTTTTAGGGCAGTGAATCTACTCTGTATGATGCTATGATGGTGGATACACGTCATTATACATGTGTCCAAACACACAGAATGTCCAACACCAAGAGTGAACCCTAACGTAAACTGTGGACTTTGGGTGATTATAATGTGTCAGTGTAGCTTCATCAACAGTCACAAACTTCCTGCTGTGGTAGGGGATGTTGATAATGTGGGAGGCTGTGGGTATGTGTGGGCAGGGGGTATATAGGAAATCTCTGGACCTTCTTAATTTTTCTGTGAACCTAAAACTGCTCTAAAAATTAAAGTCTATCAATTTAAAAAAATGCACATCTGACCTTCTCCCTCTCGGGGTAGTCCCGCTCAGCTCTGCCTGTGCACATGCTGGCCCCTCTGTCGGGCGGCTCTCACCTGACTCTGGTTCATTTCTCCTTATCCCCCCAATATCCCTTCGGCAGAAAGCCTTCCCTTCCCCTCAGACCAGGTCAGTCCCGTTACCCTCTGCACCATCCCTCAGAGTATTCCTTGATGGCATTTGTCACAGTGGATAATTAAATAGCCGTTGGTATGAGTTTTGGATTCACATCTCTCCTCCCACCAGGCCAGAGCCAGTCCATAGAACTTTCTACAGTGATGGGAAGGTTCCATATCTGTGCTGTCCAATGTGATAGACACTAGCCGCATGTGGCTACTGGGCACTTGAAATGTGGCTTGTGCAACTGAGGAACTGAATTCTTCATTTTAATTAATTTAAATTTAAATAGTCACATGTGGCTAGTGGCCCCCCATGGGACAGTGCAAGACTGTAAACTCCGTGAGGGTCGGGACGATGTCTCGATATCCCCCCTGTACCCCAGCCCCCAGCACTGTGTGGCTGCTCAAAATAGAAGCTGAATGATGAATGACTGAGTGAGTGGAGGCACCAACCCCTGGCAGGGGTCTCGAAATGATTCCAGCCCCTGGGTCCCTTGGGTGATTCCAGGCCGGACTGTGTGTTCGAATCCTGCCACTTCAGAGCCATCTTACCCTCCAAGCCTCAGTTTCCCCAAGAGGAAGATGACTGCAAGTGTGCCACCATGAGCAGCCTCCCTGTGTCCTTACCACTGAGCTCCAGGAAGAGCTGTTGGGATGAGAAGAAGGACCTGGGGTTCCAAGCTCCCGTACTTGCCAGGACTCCCCTCCTCTCAGAGCAGCTTGGTGGGGTGCAGTTAGATCCAGGCAGGGGGTGCTTTGTAGAGGAGGGACAGTCCCGCATAACAGGTTTCGGCTCATTAAAAAGGAGAACCTCAGGACTCAGAGCTGCCTCACGGGGGAGCCAGCCACCTGAGAAAGTGGAGCTTCCGTCCCCGGTCCCAGGGCAGGGCAAGCTGTGGAGGGGTGAGGGGGTCAGAGTGGCGAGGCCACGTTCCTGTAAAACAGGAGCGAACCTGATGTGTCTGGCCCGTTGATCTGTCCGCGGAGGCAGAGAAGGGGGCAGTGACTGGGCTTCGTAGGCGTTAGGGTCAAACTCCAGCTTTCTCACTTATCAGGTGGGTAACCTGGGGCCTCTGTGAGCCTCAGTCTCCCAACCTGTAAAGCAGGTGCTGAGAAGAAGCCAGGAGGCAGTGTGGCACCCTCTCACTTCGCCTGGCTGGGGTCCGTGTTCCTCCACGCTGGGTCTCTGCTCCAAGCCAGGCATCAGATGGTGAGCCCAGCTCTGGCCCCGGGAAGGAAGGAGCAGGGCCTAAAGGACTCTCAAGGTCAAACGTGTGTCTCAGCTGCACTTCCAGAGTCTTGCAAAGGAAAATATGAATGAAGCACCTGCTCACCACCACCTGTCCCAGTGCTGCTGCTGTTCACATTTCTCAGGTGGGCATGCAGACAGAGACGTGACTTCCCCAGGCGTCTGGCCTCAGCCACCCTCCCATTCTTCCCCGGGGGAGTGTCTCCAGTCCCCAGGCCTCTACCCGCAGTGATCTGGGCCTCTGCCAGGGACATGCATGCTCTCCCCTCCACTTGCCCAAGTGACAACTCCTGGGGCAGCTCCGGCGTTCCTCCCACAAGAAGCCTCTGGAGGGCCGGCCCCGTGGCTTAGCGCTTGAGTGCACGCGCTCTGCTACTGGCGGCCCGGGTTCGGATCCCGGGCGCGCACTGACGCACTGCTTCTCTGGCCATGCTGAGGCCGCGTCCCACATGCAGCAACTAGAAGGATGTGCAACTATGACACACAACTATCTACTGGCGCTTTGGGGAAAAAAAAGGAGGATTGGCAATAGATGTTAGCTCATAGCCGGTCTTCCTCAGTAAAAAGAGGATTAGCACAGATGTTAGCTCAGGGCTGATCTTCCTCACAAAAAAAAAAAAAAAAGCCTCTGGAGAAGCACCCCCACTGCTCAAGGGCAGCGGTTCCCCACTCCCCACCCCTCGGCAGCCCAATTTATGCCACAATTGACATAATGAACATCTCCATCCCCCTGTGATCCCCTATTATCACACACAGCCTCCGCTCTTCTTTTTCTTATCACAACCGGTAACTGTAAATTCATCTGTTTGCCTACATAGTTATTGTCTTCCCCACTAAACTGGACGCCTCATGAGGGCAGGAAACACACCTGCTTCTTTTCCACCAGTTGCAGTCCCTGGCACAAATAGCGATGGAAGGAAGGAAGGGCGCAGGGAAGGAGGGGGAGAAGGGGGGCTTTGTTTCCAGACCAACAGCTCCTCCAGGACAGGGTCTATGTCCAGGTCATCTCAGTAGCCTCAGGCCCAGCATACAGTGGGCACTCAATAAATGTCTGTGGAATGAATAGTGGCCCAAGGTGGAAGCTTACTTGCAGCTCCCAGAACCTGGGGCTCACCACCACCCCTGAATCGGACCCTGAACTGGCCCAGGAGGGACTTCCCCTCACAGACCTTGCTTCCCAGGGCCTCTAAGACAGCAGGGGGCGGGTGAGGACGGAGCCACAGCAGTGTCCCGGGCGCTCTGCGGCTCTCGCACCACCTCCTCTGGGCAAGCGGCTGCCGTGCGCGGGTGCAAGAGTGGGTCCAGGACTCCGGGAACAGAGCATGCTCTGCACCCACGAAGGTGCTTTATGTACTCAACTAGAAGCACCTGCCCAGCTCAGGGGACCATAGGTTCCTGTTTGGTTCTGGAAGCCATCATGAGGCCTTAGGACAGTCTCCTTCCCCCCAACCGAAGAAAACCACCTTGCACTGATAAAAATTACTCATTTCCCCGCTCAAGGACTCAAATCTGGATTGCTTGGGGGCAGTTTCTGCACTTCTCGCTCTCTCTGGAGATGTGGGAGCAACATCTCTCATGGGGGGCCCCGCCCCCTTTCCCTTCCTCCTCCTCTGCTGGTGTCAATCACATCTTCTAGGAGAGGGAAGGTAGGCCAGGCTTGGTTTTCCCCTTGGAGCACTGCAGGAGTCAAAGCTGACCTGCAGCACCAGGCTGACGCCAGCCACACTCGAGGAGCCCTGAGGAGCCGGGCGGCTTCCCCAGCTGTCACACGGTCCTGGGAGAACCAGGCCAGGCCTGCACTTGAAGACACTGGGCACTGCAAGTGTGCAGGATAACACACCCCCTCAGTCACAGGGCACAACCCAGACCTCAGATGAGTCTCCCCCAGAGCCAACCACAGCCATTGCTGCCCATCCTTCATCCCCTCTGCACGAGGCCCTGAACACTGCTAGGGCACTGTCCTCAGACGTCTAGGTAAGGGATGACAGCAGTGAAGGTGAGGAGGGTAAGGGGTGTGGCCCAGGAGCCACTTTCCCAGCCCCCATCCCAAGAGGACATCTCTCCAAGTGAGCTTCCAGTCACAGGAGGTACCATGGTGCCCCCCACCCTGGTCCCATGAGGTATGGTACCTGGACCACCAGACTCCCCCCAACATAGCCCAGGCTCCCCACTCAAAGCACCTGGACCTCAGAACCAAGCAAGAAATGGGGGTACATGGGGGACAGAGGGGAAGGGCCAGGTCAGGGAATTCATTTAAAGTACGTGGGATAGAGGCCAGGATCCCTAACCCATCTCTGGAGTCACTCAGCCCAGGCCTGCTCAACGCCAGGGTTAGAGGCCCCTCAACCCCCCCAGACAGGAATGGCTCGGCCCCCCACTGCCCCACCCTTCTCCCACACCCAACAACACCATGGAGCCATGCCTGTTTCTTTAAGGTGTGCACTTTATTGAACTGGTCTCAAGTCAGTGTACAGGTAAGCCCTGGCTGCCTCCGCACCTCAGCTCTCTCCCAGGGAGATCAAAAGCCTTCATACATTTCAAGTTGGGGGACAAAAAGGGGGGCCATGATGGCTGGCCATTCAAAATAAAAAACAAAAAGAACAAGTATTAAGGCAAAGATTAAAAAAAATTTGGATTACATAATTTACACGAAAGCAATGCTGTCACCCTCCCCTGTGTGGACTTGGGTGGGGACTGGCCCTTCTTTGGGAGAAGTGGGGCGGCTTTTGGGAAGGCAAGGGACTTCCTGTAACAATGCATCTCACGATATTTGGAATGACTATTAAAAAAAAGAACAATGTACAATCAAAGTCCTTGGCCACATTGTAGAACTTTGGGGATGCTCGCTCCAACCGACTGCTGTCACCTTCACCGTTCCAGTTTTTAAATCCTGAGTCAAGCGCCAAAAAAAAAAAAAAAAAAAAAAAAAAAAATTCAAAAAAACAAACAAATAAAGCCATGCCAATCTCATCTTGTTTTCTGCGCAAGTTAGGTTTTGTCAAGAAAGGGTGTAACGCACTAACAGTCCGCCTAGAAGCACTTGCGGTGGACGATGGAGGGGCCGGACTCGTCGTACTCCTGCTTGCTGATCCACATCTGCTGGAAGGTGGACAGTGAGGCCAGGATGGAGCCACCGATCCACACAGAGTACTTGCGCTCAGGGGGTGCGATGATCTGGAGAGGGAAGAGGACGGTTAATGTGAGGACCCTGGATGTCACAGCCACGGACCACTGGCACATCACAGGAACCACACCAAGATGGTCACCTCGATAACCACAAGGTCCCCTTGTCACACTCCACGTGACCAGGCCAGCTCAGGCTGGGCAGACACCCACCTTGATCTTCATTGTGCTAGGAGCCAGGGCAGTGATCTCCTTCTGCATCCTGTCAGCGATGCCTGGGTACATGGTGGTCCCACCAGACAGCACTGTGTTGGCGTAAAGGTCCTTACGGATGTCAACGTCACACTTCATGATGGAGTTGAAGGTAGTTTCATGGATGCCACTGGATTCCATGCCTGTGGGGAAAGAAACCAGACTTAGCTTCCAGTGAGGCCACAAGAGACCCCCATGCATGAGGCCACAAGAGACCCCCATGCAAGGCACCTAGCAGCAGGCTGTCTTACTCACCCAGGAAGGAAGGCTGGAACAGTGCCTCGGGGGCGCGGAACCGCTCGTTGCCGATGGTGATGACCTGCCCATCGGGCAGCTCGTAGCTCTTCTCCAGGGAGGAGCTGGAGGCCGCGGTGGCCATCTCCTGCTCGAAGTCTAGAGCGACGTAGCAGAGCTTCTCCTTGATGTCACGCACGATTTCCCGCTCGGCTGTGGTGGTGAAGCTGTAGCCACGTTCCGTGAGGATCTTCATGAGGTAGTCCGTCAGGTCCCGGCCAGCCAGGTCCAGACGCAGGATGGCGTGGGGGAGGGCGTACCCCTCGTAGATGGGCACAGTGTGGGTGACCCCGTCACCGGAGTCCATCACGATGCCAGTGGTGCGGCCAGAGGCATACAGGGACAGCACAGCCTGAATAGCCACATACATGGCTGGGGTGTTGAAGGTCTCAAACATGATCTGTAGGAAGAGAGGAACCACGTCATGGTCAGGAAGCAACCAGGGGCAGTCAGGCAGACTGGGGGCATGCTGCGAGTGCAAGGCACACGACTAACTGTGCTGGGGATCCCGGGAGGGGGATTCACTTCAGACCTATTGTGCACCTACTGAATACACACTCCAAGGCCATTTTACACCAGCCTCATTGGTTTTGTCACACGAGCCAGTGTTAGTACCTACACCCACAGCACTTTCTACTTTAAACACCTAGTCAGAAAAACAACCATGAGAGAAAAATTCCATCTGGGAAAAACAAATAGAACCTGCAGAGTTCCAAAGAAGACTCAGGTCAGAGAAGAGAGTCCTAAGAGAACGGCAGAAAAAAGAACAAGTGAGAAAAGGCGTGGCACAGAAAGGCAAGAAAAGATGGGGAGGCGGCCAGGGGAAGGACAGGGGCCCACTGACCTGGGTCATCTTCTCACGGTTGGCCTTGGGGTTCAGGGGGGCCTCGGTCAGCAGCACGGGGTGCTCCTCGGGGGCCACACGCAGCTCGTTGTAGAAGGTATGATGCCAGATCTTCTCCATGTCGTCCCAGTTGGTGACAATGCCGTGCTCGATGGGGTACTTCAGGGTCAGGATGCCCCTCTTGCTCTGGGCCTCATCACCCACGTAGGAGTCCTTCTGGCCCATGCCCACCATCACGCCCTGCAGGGGGAGGAGCGAGGCGCCCTCAGCACGGGCACAGACCCCCAACCCCCACCCAGAAAGGCCAAAGCACCCCTTCCTCGTGGAGGAAGCCGGGCCTCGGGGAGCCGAGCCCCACCCACCCACGCGATCATTCCGGAGGCTGGCGCCCTACCTGGTGCCGGGGGCGCCCCACGATGGAGGGGAAGACGGCGCGGGGGGCATCGTCGCCCGCGAAGCCGGCCTTGCACATGCCAGAGCCGTTGTCGACCACGAGCGCAGCGATATCGTCATCCATGGCGAGCTGCAGGAGAGCGGGGCGCTGAGCCGGGGGTCGGGTGGGGCCGCCCCCGCCCTGCCCACTTCCGGCGCGCCGCACCCTCGAGCCGCCAGGGGGCGCCGGCGCGCGCCCAGATTGGGGACAAAGGAAGCCGGGCCGGCGGGCCGCGTTATTACCATAAAAGGCAAACGCGGGCTGGAGGCGGACCCGCGGCGCGCGGCGGGAAGCCAGGCCCCCGCCCCTCCCCGCCGGGCGACGGCCCCTCCCCGTTCAAACAGCGCCGAGCGGCCAGTCGCGCGTCGGCCACACCCGCGAAGCCCACGGCATGGGGAGGAAGCGCGCGCAGGCGCCCTCGCGCCGCGGCGACCCCACCCCTTCCGGCGGCC